ATCGGGACACCATCATCGTCATCATCATGATCATCAACCTAATCATCATTATCATCCTCATCCTCATCATCGGGACACCACCAGCATAATCATCATCGTCATCATCGACATCATCCTCATCATCATTGGGACACCATCATCATCATATCTTCATCATCATCGTCATGATCATGATCATCGTCCTCATCATCATCAGCATCACCATCATCATCATCATCGTCATCATCAGCAGCATCATCATCAGCATCATCACCATCATCATCATCATCATCATCATCATCATCATCGTCATCATCATCATCATCATCATCATCATCATCATCATCATCATCATCGCGGGACACCGCGGGACACCGGCGGGACACTGCGGGGCACCGCGGGACACCGCGACACCGCGGGACACCGCGGGACACCGGCGGGACACCGCGGGCCACCGGCCGCCCGGAAGGGAGACATTTGGTCCGGCCGCGCCTCAGCCACACGGGACACCAGCGGGACACCGGCGGGACACCGCGGGCCACCGGCCGCCCGGAAGGGAGTCATTTGGTCCGGCCGCGCCTCAGCCACAGGAGACTTTCTCTCGCCCGCCCACGCAGCTTCGCCTCGCCCGCACGGCACGCACGAACACGAAACCGAAATCGATTTCCAGGTAGGGGGGCTTTCCGTTCCATTTCGATCTCACCCCCTCACCTCCGATACATACGGAGAGAGATGGATACCTAGAGAGATATTGATACATATGAAAACGTATTGTGCTTACTGCCTATGTATGTATAACGTACATAGAGGGAGAGAGGGAGACATAGCGAGGGAGAGAGAGAGAGGGAGAGCAGTGAGGGCGATGAGGAGGAGTTAGGAGGCCAGCGGTAGGGAGAGGGCGGAGGCAACGAGGAGGAGGAGGGGAAGGACCAGTGTAAACTCAAAGTGTATCAACGATGTTGCAAAAAGCCCTCCAATTTCCCTCATCGGCACCTACAAGAATTGATTGTCATCCAGCTGCCTGTGGCAAGTCGCACCACCGTGCCAGCCCAGCATTCTGGGTGGCGATTTTTCGAGGGGGGATGGGATGCGGTCATGTCTGACAACTCGTGTCTCCACGGCTGGGAGAGCTGTGATGGGGATGATGACGGTGATGATGATAATGATGGTGATGATGATGAAGATGATGTTGATGATGATGATGATGGTGATGATAATGATGATGACGACGATGATGACGACGATGATGACGATGCTGATGCTGCTGCTGACGACGACGATGATGATAATGATAGTGGGGATGTGGATGGGGTTGGGGGATGATGATGATGCTGACGATGATGATGATGATGATGATGATGATGATGACGATGATGATGGTGACGACGATGATGATGATGATGATGATGATGATGATGGTGGTGATGATGATTGTGATGACGATGATGATTAGTTATGGTGTATGATGGTGATGACGACGATGACAATTTTGATGACGATGACGATGAAGATGCTGATGGTGATGACGATGGTGATGATGGAGATAGTGTTGGTGGTGATGATGATGAGGTCGATAACGATGTTGATAGTCATGATGTTGATGGTGATAATGGTGGTGGTGATGAGGATGAGAATGAAGATGAGGATAATGAGCATGGGGATCACGATTAACATGAGCATGGCGATGAAGGTGGTGATGAAACTGCTGAATGCTGATGATCATATGGTTTTTGTGATGACGGTGATACTGATCATGGTGATGATGATGATGGATGGTGATGGCGAAGGTGATGGTGCTGGTGATGGTGCTGGTGATGGTAATGACGACGCTGGTGGTGGTGATGATGAGGATGAGGTCGATGATGATGACGATATCGGTGATGATACTGGTGATGATGATGATGTTTATGCTGATGGAGATCATGATGATCATAGTGGTGGTGATGATAATGATGCTGCTGATGATAATGTGGGTGATGATGATGCTGATGGTGATGATGATGATGACGAGGACGACGATGCTGATGATAGTGATGACGATGATGATGGCGATGGTGATGATAACGATGATGATGATGATGATGATGATGGTGATGATGATGATGATGGTGATGGTGATGGTGATGGGGATTGTGATGATGATGATGATGCTGATGGTGATGATGATGATGGTGGTGGTGGTGGTGGTCGTGTTGGTGGTGCTGATGATGCTGATGATGATGGTGGGGGTGATGATGTTGATGTTGATGGTGATTGAGGATGGTGATAATGATGATTGTGATGACGGTCATTGTGATGGTGATGGTGGTGGTGATGATGATGAGGATGATGATGGTGATGACGATGATTATGATGATGATGTTGATGATGATGCTGATGCTGATGCTGTTGCTGATGATGATGATGATGATGATGATGATCATGATGCTGCTGATGATGATGATGATTATGATGATGATGATGATGATGATGATGATGATGAGAAGGAGGACGAGGAGGAGGAGGAGCAGGAAGAGGAGCAGGAGGAAGAGGACGAGGAAGGACGTCACATGTAGCATCTTGCATCTTTCGTCTTCACTATTTGAGGGGATCCATAGAATTCGTCTGGGCCGCCTTCGGGGCTGTCCTGGCCTCGTATGAAGTGGTTTTGAGGGTCCCTTGGGGCGCTCTTGGGGCCCTTTTACGGCGTCATGGGGCTTTCTTGGGCCGTCTCGGGGCCCTCTTGGCAGTGTGTTGGGCGCCTGGAGGTCGCCTTTGGCAGCCGAGAAGGCCTTACAGGGCCATTTTGGGTCCCACGGAAGGCTCTCTCGTGCAGTTTTGGAGGCAGTCGTCGATACCTCCCGGGCCGTCTTGGGGCTATCGCGGAGGTTTCTTGGGCCGTCTTGGGCTGGCGGAGACCCGAAGCGGCGAAAACGCGAAACGAATTTCAACGGGAAGTGAACGAGTTCGGTTCCTTCGGGCCCTAGTGGAGGTCCTCTTGAGGCCCGTTTGGGGCCTCTCGGAGGCACACTGGGCCGCCGTGGGGCCACAGCGAGCCGCCGTGGGGCCATCCTGGGCCGTCTTCGAGGCGTCCTGGGCCACCTTGGTGTTCTCGATGACCTGCGTGCCCAGACCTCCTCGCGTTGTGAAAAAATCACGACGGGAGGTTTTTCGCTATTTTCGGCCTCCGGGGGCCCTCGCCGGGCCTCGGGACCGTCAAAAAACGACTCAGGACGAAGAACCGGTCCCGGGGAAGGGGTCCAGACCTCTGGGGGTCGACGTTGTGAAAAAATCACGACGTCGGGGGTCTGGGTGGGCCGCACTGGGAGCCCGGGGCACGGATCCGTCGTTGCTGTACGAGGGGTCGTGGCCCTGGGAGCACGGACCCTTCGCTCTGTTGCCAGGGATCGTGGCCTCTGGATGGGTGTCATGCATGGCGGGGGAGTGGGGGTCTCACTTAGAGTACGGAAACCTACCAGGCAGCCCGGCGCTCGTCCACGCCTCAGCGCGCACAAGGCACGGTGGCACAGTGCGGGGACTGGCCGATTGGAAGACAACCGTCTAAGAATCTTCAACCGTGCGAAAACACCGTTCCTGGTACTTCAACGCAGCGAGTCAAAGTGATTGCTGTGTCCTGACAATCCTCAATCGCGCCAGAACGCCATCCCTGGGACTTCAAAACCACGAGCCACGTCATTGCTACGTCCTGACAGCCCTACATCGTACCAGAACCGTACGAATATTTCAAGCGGCTGCAAGCGTTTGAGACGAATGTGCGCGGCGCTAAGGCGAGAGCCACATGTTGAAAACGACCCGCCCTCCATCCGTGAAGCTGTTGTACGCTGTCAGCACGAATGTGCGCAGCGCCACGGCGGGAGCTACAATGTGAAGTCGACCCGCCCCCCCCATGATTGGAATTGCTTCAAAGTTCAAGCTTCCGGGCTATACCTGGTGACCCAGACCCCCGACGTCGTGATTTTTTCACGACGTCGACCCCCAGAGGTCTGGACCCCTTCCCCGGGACCGGTTGTTCATCCCGAGTCGTTTTTTGACGCTCCCGAGGCCCGGGGAGGGCCCCCGGAGGCCGAAAACTGCGAAAAACCTCCCGTCGTGATTTTTTCACGACGCGAGGAGGTCTGGCGAGGAGGTCCGGGGCGAAACGCGCAGCCCGCCCTGCCGACCCTTCGGCGGGCGCTACGTGCGGCGTTCCAGCAAGGGCCCTGCCTTCGAGGGTCGCAGGAGGTGCCACCTCTTCCGGCGCGGAGGGCGGCGGAAGGTCGGCGGAAGCAAAACGAGGCCGCCTCTCCTTCTCCTCCTCCTCCTCCTCCTCCTCCTCCTCCTCCTCCTCCCCTCTCCTCCTCCTCCTCCCCCTCCCCTCCTCCTCCTCCTCCTCCTCCTCCTCCTCCTCCTCCTCTCCCTCTCCTCCTCAGGAGGAGGGCCGCGCCGCCGGCTTCCGCGGCGGCGGCGGCCGCCTCCGCCGGCGGAAGCCGGCGGAAGGGCGGCGGGAGGTGGCGGAAGTAAGAGATGGGCCCCAGGGAGGCGAGAACGCTTTGGGGGCTCTAGGGCTGCCGAAATCGCTCACTCGGAGGAGTGCTTTGTAATGGAGGGTGACGATTAATAAATGACCGGGGGTCGTGTTCACGCGGCGGCGCCCGGGATGACGATTAGAACAAACCGGCCGCGGTCCGGAGAACTATGTTCTAAACCGTTCTCCTCCAGTCAGAAAACTGTGCAGAAATAGCAGGACATTATTTTTTAATCTTTCCCCCCCATTTTTTTATTAATCGTCATCCCGCATTATGGAGCAGAGCCCCGAGCACATACCGAGAGGCGCGCGCCCGGGAGTACAGCCGCGGGCGGCGCCAAGAGAAGGAGGAGGAGGAGGAGGAGGAGGGGGAGAAGGAGGAGGAGGAGGAGGAGAGTAGGAGGAGGAGGAGGAGGAGGAGGGGAGGAGGAGGAGGAGGAGGAAGGGAGGAGGATGAGGAGGAGGAGGAGGAGGAGGAGGAGGAGGTGGAGAGCGGGGCGAAGAGCGGCCTCTCCAGGCCGCCGGCGGTGCGCAGCCGGGCCCGGCCAGGTACCTCGCAGGCACCGGGCCGCGCGTGGGTGCCGCCATCGCCGCCTTCACGCTCCCATCTCCTCGCTCCCATCTCACTCGTCGTGTTCGTCGTTCACAGCCTCCTCTCACCGCTCCTCTCCCTCCTCCACCCTCCTCATCCTCCTCGCCCCTGCCGCTGCGAGCAGCAGATCTTGTCGTCTCTCGCCCTTTTCTCGCCCGCTTGTGCCGTTCCTCCTTGTTCCCCACCTCTCTCTTTCCTGCTCGGTCCCCTATCCGTGATCTCTATGTTATCCTCCTCCTCTTCCCCTTTCGTATTCCTTCTGGTTGGTTTCGTCTTGTAGTATTGTGTTGCTGTTTGAGTGTTGTGTTGTTGCAGGTGTTGTTGCTGCTGCTGTTGTTGTTGTCCCTCCTCCTACTCCTTCTTCTCCTCATCCTCCTCCTCCTTATCATCATCATCATCATCATCATCATCATCATCATCATCATCATCATCATCATCATCATCATCATCATCATCGTCATCATCGTCGTCGTCGTCATCATCATCATCATCAGCATCATCAGCATCATCATGGACTCCCGTCGGGGATCATCCGTTAAAATTGGAACGATACAGAGAAGATGACCATGGCCCCTCCGCAAGGATGACACGCACAAATCGAGACGCGTATACAATAATCAGCATCATCATCATCACCAGCAGCATAATGATAATTTTCACCACCATCATCATCATCATCATCATCATCATCATCATCATCATCATCATCACTGTCAGCATTATCATTATAATCATCGTCATTAGCAGCATCAGCATCATCCGCATCATCATCATCATCATCATCAGCAGCAGCATCAGCATCAGCATCAGCATCATCATCATTGTTATCATCAACATCATCAGCATCATCATCATCATGATCATCCGTCTCCTGCTGCTGCTCCTCCTCCTCACCCTCCTCCTCCCCTCCTCCTACTCCTCCTCTTCCTTCACCTCCTCCTCCTCCTCCTCCTTCACCTCCTCCTCCTCCTTCTCCTCCTTCCGTTTTTTTTTCTCCTTCTGCTGAATGTCCAGTCCTCCCTCTCTCCCCTCCTATGCAGTCTTTCCACCTCCCCCTCCTCCTCCTCCTCCTCCTCCTCCTCCTCCTCAGCCTCCTCCATCGTATCCTGCTGCTGCATGTCCCGTACGCCCTCTCCTCCCATTCTTCCTCCTCGTCGTCCCCCTCATCCTCGTCCTCCTCCTCCTCCTCCGCCTGAGTCATCCTCCACCTCCTCCGTCTCCTCCTCATTCTCCTCCTCCTCCTCGTCCTCCTCCCCCTCCTCCTCTTCCAACACCTCCTCCTCCTCCTTCTCGGCCTCCTCCTCCTCCTCTTTCTCCTCCTCCTCTTCGTCATCATCATCAGCAGCATCATCCTCAGCATCATCAGCATTAGCATCATCATTCTCATCAGCATCCTCATCCGCATCATCATCCTCCTCCGCATCATCCCGTTCCGTCTCCTCCTCCTCATCCTCTTCTTTCTCGCCCAACAACAGCAACAGCAGCAACACCATCACCACACCCAGCACCTCCTCCAACACCTCCAACACTGCCTCATCATCTGCCACCTCATCCCCATCATCAGCATCATCATCATCAGCAGCACCATCAGCAGTTAGCATCAGCCGCATCACCAGCAGCATCAGCCGCATCACCAGCAACAGCAGCAGGAGCCGCATCATCAACATCATCAGTATCAACATCAGCATCATCAGCATCACCATCAGCAGCATCAGCATCGACCCAGGCGTCAGCACCACCATCCTCATCATCAGCATCACCATAATCTACATCAGCAGCATCATCATCAGCATCATCATCATCAGCAGCATCACCAGCCTCGGCATCATCATCAACCGCATCAGCAGCAACATACTCATCGCCAGCTGCAGCATCATCATCATCACCATCATCGTCATCGGCCACATCATTAGCATCACCATCATCAACATCCTCGTCATCAGCCGCAGCAGCATCATGATCATCATTATACTCAGCATCAGCATCATCATCATCGGCAGCATCACCCGTATCATCAGCAGCATCGTCCTCAGCAGCAGTATCCGCAGCATCATCAGAATCAGCATCGGCCGTATAGCATCCCCCTCCTCCTACACATCCTCATCATTCATCACCTCCTCTTCCCCCTCCTCCTCCTCCTCCCGTCACCTCATCGTCATCCTCCTCCGCATCCCCATATTCCTCCTCAGTTGCTTGCGCTTGCTCCTTCTCCGTTTCCTGATGTTGTCTGTCTTGTCATACTTCTCCTCTTCTTCTTCGTCCTCCTCCTCCTCCTCCGCCTCGTCCTCCTCATCTTCCTCGTCCGCCTCCTCCGTCTCCTCCTCCTCATCTTCCTCCTCCCCATTTTGTCGCTCGACCAACGTACGGAACGAGCCTGTCGCACGTATTCCTCCTCCACTTCCTCCTCCTCCTCATCCTCCTCATCTTTTCCTCCTCCTCCTCCTCCTCAACCACCCCCTCCTCATCCTCCTCCTCATCTTCCTCTTCCTCCTCATCTTTGTCATCCTCGTCCTCGTCCTCCTCCTCATCCTCCTCCTCTTCCTCCTGCTCCTCTTCCTCCTCCTCCTCATCTACCTCGTCGTTATCCTCCTCCCCGTCATCCTCATCCTCAGTGTCCTGCTCCTCCTCCACATCCGCATCCCGTCCTCCTCCACATCCAACACTTCCCCCTCCTCCTCCTCATCCTACTCCTCGTCCTCCTTCTCCTCCTCCTCGCCCTCCTCCTCCTCCTCCCAGTAATACTACGCCTAGTATTACTATTACTACTGTTCCTACTACTATTATTACTACTACTACTGCTGCTACTACTACTACCACTACTACTACTACTAGTACTACTACTACTACTACTACTACTACTACTACTGCTACTGCTACTGCTACTGCTACTACTATTACTCCTAGTACGAATAGTACAGCTAGTACTACTACTACTACTACTACTACTACTACTACTACTACTACTACTGCTACTGCTACTGCTACTGCTACTGCGGCCAGTACTATCACTACTACTACTACATCTACTACTACTATTATTATTACTACTACTACTACTATTACTACTACTTCTACTAC